ACAGATCCCCCAAAAGATTAACAAAAAAAGCTATTTTGATCGTTTCTCTTTCATGGGTTAGGCCGCATATGGCACCACAACACCATCAAAACGCAATAACTTTAATTCCTGGTAATTGGGTCAGCCGGCGATGACATCAATTGATCAAACCCTAAAGCAACCAACATGATAGTGATGATGATGATGATGATGAAGGGACTTTTCCCTGTCAATCATGCCTTGAACATACCTAAACTCCTCCACATGGCAAGGGATTGTGATTGTACCCTTTTGATCGAAGCCGTACTCCTCCTCAGCACCTTTCAGAAGCTGCATGAACAGCGGATGATTGAAATATATCACCGGCACCACGAATCTCTGCTGCTCCTCTCCTTGACCTACTTTTATGGCCAAGCACCCCTTCGGCACATCTCTTCCCTGCTTACTGCTCTTCCCTTGATGGTTATGGTGATGACCGAGATGCCGGTGAAAGCTCCTCGCACTTTTCTCTCCGTTACCCATTTCCAGATTGAACGAAACCCTAGCTTTCTTTTACTTCCTTCCCCAGAAAATTTCAGAAGACGACTCCTCCGGAAGAGGGTGTGAAGGAAGAAGCGCAACTAGGTACGTTGGTCATGAGATGTTGGGGAGTTTCAAATATATACACCAACCAGAAAAACAATGAGATAAATTATACAGAGGGAAAGGAGTGTGATTAGTGGGTTTTGTACACAAAGTGGGATGGATATTAGCCGTGGGATTAGAAGAATTGATTGATGAGGAAAAAGTAATGGCAAAAGGGTAATTAAGAGGGTAAGCCACGTGGATGGCGAGTGATGATGGCAAGGACACGTGGATGAAAGTGGGGCCCAGCGAAACGTAAGTAATAGCCGACAGAGAGGTGTCGTTTGTTTGGGACAGCCAATAGCAGGTTGGGGGACATGTCCATGTAGACATCTAAAGATGCCAACGACGGACACACACACACACTCCTCTTCTCTGCTTGTTACAAAATAATAATAATAATAATAAATATTATGTGGTTTTGATATATGAAATAATTATATTAAATAAAAATCTCACATGATGAATCTATGGTCTCTGCCAACTGCCTTATCACATTCCCAAATCAAATAATCCACAAAAGGTAAAATTTATAGTAGGGATTAAAATTTTGAAACAACAAAATCCAGGATTCATGAAAATAAGATTTTCAAAAATTCACAATGATTTGTGATAATTATTGTTTATAACAACAAAAAGTACAGTAATATTCTATTCATCATTATTTTAATACATGTACAAAGTATTGTATTTACTTAAAAGTTAAAAAGACCCCTATATGTGTGTATATATATATATATATATTTTTAATAAACTTAGAATCAAAAGTAAAAAATAAATAGTGAGACAGGGAGGGGCTTGTTAGAGGAAGTACCTTGCAAGTACTGCGACTATATATGTCCCGGCTCGAAACATACAAAGTGGGAGAATAAAATAAGATGGGGTGTGAAATTACATAAATGCCCCTCCGCTCTATATAATTACAATTTTGTGATGCGTTGCCCATTAGCTGCACTACTCTACGTGAGCGTCTATTCTAACAACTCTACGCCCCAATCCATGCTATCGGTTCAATTTACTTTTTACAAACTTGATTCTCCAATATGATTGAACTTTACCCATATAAATATATAATTTTTTAATTAATACCAACGATTTACTGTACTATTTTTGGGATAAAAGTAATACATACATATATATATATATATATATTTGAATTACATGATGCCATTCTTTTGTTTTATTTGGGGAGAGGGGATGAATAAACTATTTTAAATAATAATGGAGAAATTAAAATATTAATTATATTTCAATCTTTAAAAACAATCATGAGGGAATATAAATAAATAAATGATTTCCCAGACTAACGGAAACAGTGCAACAAATAGAATTTATTAAGTTGGAATATCAAGGAAACAAATATAAATCCGATTGCTTATGACAATGTATGTATACAATTAGTGGAATTAATTACATATCATTTTTTCCAAATTAAAAAAAAAAAAAAAAAAATTAAATATATTTTATTGGCAGCCGGATGCTAATGCATATGAGCACTAATATTCTGACCCAAGTTAATGCTTGATATATATATGTATGTATGTATGTATGTATAAGCACTTGATTGCTCTCGACCAATTAACATTGTGTTAGAATTTATCAAAGACTTTGAAGTTTCAAATTTTGATTTCAAGTTGACTGACACTGACCCTTCATTTTGAATTTTCCATATAAAAATTTTGGTCCATATACATTCATTAAATAGGCAAAATATTTTGTTGATAATAAACTGAGGTAAATCAAGGTGAATAATAGACTGGTACTTTACTTAATTTATTCCGCATGAATATATATATATATATAGTGATTAGAAAATCGATTTTAGAATCAAGTTGATCAGAAGATATAAAGCAGGAAAATGAAAAAGGTTGTATCGTCCCCATCGGTAAAAAATTTGATGTTGAGGTTTTCCCACTTGATTCCGAAGTTGGGAAGCCAAAAAAAGTAGCTCCAGGATATTTCTCTTTCATTCTTATATTTATATATATATATATATATATATATTCCATATTAAAATTGTGTTCGGCCAGCTTGAATATTTAACAAACACCAAAATTCCTCACTAATTTATATTCTTCTCTATGAATAGAATTTCTCTAAGAATATTTTATGTATTGTTGGAACTCTTTTTTTTTTTTTTTTGTTCAAAAAAGGAAGCTCCACATGCTTAGGATTAATATCAATTTATAAATTACGATCTCTTAATTTTCTTTTAATTTTTGACTCTCTTTATGCCGAAAAAAAAAAAAAATCTATTTATGAATTATGTATTAAAATTACTTCAATATCTTTTTATTTTCTCGTTACCTAGTTATTTATACTTCTATTGAGGTTAATGAGACTAAAATTTTGAACTTAAGTTATCATTTGATTCAGGAAGTATTATATCATTTGATTTATGTCATATTTTGTTTTTATTATCATTTTCTTTAGTCAAGTTCTACTTATATCATTGTATATCATAATAAGTTTATAAAATTGACTATTTTTTTATTATCTATTAGATAATTTGAAGTAACTCAACTATATTCTTTCTTAAGAAATTATTCTTTCTCTTAAATGAAGAGCTTAAATTAAGCATATAAGTTATGACGGAATGTTAGTAGCTACTTTTTCAAACATGTTAGACATGATAACAAAATTGAAACAAAATTTATCTTCAACAATAAGAATACAAAATTAAGACCATGGAGTTAGTTGGTTTTGAAACACTACTATGAAATATGAAAATATACTCATAATTAAGAACTCAATTTAGTCATCTTAACATTGCTAAAAAGACATGAGATTTACCTATTAGACATTCTTTTGCCTCTAACATAATCGTTGATGCTAATTTAGAGGAACTCTTCACTTTATGTATTGATTATGTTAGTTAGAGATATCTAGTTTTTCATTCATCTTTGACTTAAGTTTGAGTCATTTTGCAATTTTCTTCTACACAGTAACCCATCTAATCTTGAAAACTATTGGGGCATATTATTGTACGAGGCGTACATTCTATTTTCAGGTTGAAAAATTATTAAGAGGCTTCGGAACAACATTGGATTTCTTGAAAGTTTAATGAGTACATTTCAAGATTCAATAAAGTTGGTTTGCTTTTTGCTAAATCCATTGTTTTTCTTGGATATACTATTGTAGTGAAGATTAATTTATATAAAGTTGTTTTTAACAATATATGACTACCTTGAAAAAGATCTACCTTAAAAAGAATCTCGTCTTGCCATACTATGCATTAAACTTAAATCTTTTGACTAAAGCTTTGCCACACATCTTTCTAGTACGCTATTTCTAAGAAAGGTGGCTATAAATATTATTATAGGAAGATAAATTGATTTCCAAAAATGCAAAACCATGGTCGAAATCTATCTGTCATTCATTATAAAAATTTAGCACTTCTCATATATTTCAATCAATAATTTAAATGTTTCAACATTTAAAAAAAAAAAAAAAACTAAACAAAGCCATTATGGGAATCTCTTCATCTTAAACTTAGTGCAAGCAAGTAGGTCTAATGCTCTTAGATCCATGTTAAACAATATGTACATTAAAATAAATAAATTAAAAGAAGAACCCGACAATGACATTCCACATATAAGAAGAAAAATGAATTAAACCAAAATTTAGATTTATGGCCATCACATTTTACAGAGAAAACTAAATGAATAATGCATTAAATGAAAAAGTCATAAGGAATATCAAATGAATGCCCAAGTATACATTAAGGTTTTGCTTAATTGTAGTCTTTCAAGTTTTAATTTTATTACTAAACAAAAGTTTAATGTTATGCTAATATCAGCTACTATTAAATCAATTTATGTCCTAATTTTTTTGTATTTTATTAACAGTACAACCACAAATAGCCTTTTACTATACATTAAAAGCAAACCTTTTAACTAAGGCAGAATTTTTGCCACATCTTTCTGGTGGTACTCTATCTCGAAGAAATGTGGCTACAAATGTTATTATGGGAAGATAAATTGACTTCCAAATATCCAAAATTATGGTCAAAATATCCATACCATTCACTATTAAATCTTGGAGCTTCTTATTTGTGTCAACCTATGATTTAAATGGTTCGACATTTTATTAAGAAGAAAAAAATAAAACTAAACAAGCTAGTATGGGAATCTCTTCATCTTAAATAAGTCAAATGCTCTTAGATTACATTAAAACAATATATATATATTGAAATGAATAAATTAAAAGGAGGACCCACCACAACATTCTATATAGAAGTAGAAAGTGAGTTCAACCAAATGAAGATTTATAGCCATCCTTTACATTTGACAAGCAACATCAAATTAATCATGCAATGAATGAACAAATCATAAGCAATATCAAATAAATGTCCATGTATACATTAAGGTTATGCTTAAGTATAGGATTTCAAGTTTCAATTATATTATTAAACCAAAGCTTAATACTATGCTAATATCAGTTATTGTTAAATTAGTTTCTAACCTAATTTTATTGTATCTTGTTAATAGTACAACTAAAAATAGTCTTTTACCATTTATTAAATGTAAATCTTTTAACTAAGATAACATTTTTGCCACATATCTTTCTAGTGATCCTCTATCTCTAACAAAGGTTGGCTACATATATTATTATGGGAAAGATAAATTAATTTATGAATATCCGAATTTATGAAGGAAATCTCCTTGTCATTCACAACTAAAAACTTAAAGCTTCCTATCTGTGTCAACCTATGATTTAAATGATTCAACATTTTATTAAGAAAAAAAATATATAAAACTAAGAAAAACAAATGAGTAAATAGGTCAAATGCTCTTACATCATGTTAAACAGTATATACATTGAAATGAATAAATTAAAAGAAGAACCCACATATGACATTCTAAATGTAAGTAGAAAGTGAATTCAACCAAAATGTAGATTTATAGCCATCCTCAACATTTTACAAGCAACACTAAATTAATCATGCAATGAATGAAAACGTCATAAGCAATATCAAAATGAATGTCCAGGTATACATTAAGATTATGCTTAAGTGTAGTCTTTTAAGTTTTAATTATGTTACTAAACCTAAGCTTAATGTTATACTAATATCAATT